TTATTACCTTCCAAAGCATTAATTGAATTCAATTTCTGCAATAAACTACCCTTCGCAATTAAAGATTGAAGAATTTTCCTAGGTACTATTAGAAGTGTCTTTAGGCATAAAAAATATATGCTTAAAAAAATAAAGATCATTGAAAATCAATACAAACATCACATCAATCAGATGATAAAAATAATTTTCATAGGTATAAAATACGTAATATTACATTTGTTTCCAACATCGTGATTAGATCAAATCAATTAAAATCTTTTAAAGTGTCATTGATTTTCTATTTAAATTTAAAATAATAGAGATGTTTATAGTGAAATGAAAATATTCGGTGAAATTAAAACGATTRACGGAAACATTCATATTAATGTGCGGCTAATTTCAGTAGTAACTAATAAATTCTATGATTAAAAACATATAAAGAAATGTATAGTATTAAGAAACAAAATAAACAATTTGAATAGGCTAATGAATAATACAAAGGTAGTTAAAAATATAATAAAGTATAGTTTATTTTAAATATTTTTAAATGTATATAAAAATTAATAATATATTAAATTATATAGGTACCTAAAGGTGTACTCCTAATATATTATGTAAAAATACAAACTATACAAACCTGATATTTTAAATATTTTTTCTAACTTAATAATTTATTTTATTTGAGTTGAATAACTGTTAAATATTTCTACTCATTACAATTATTTTATCTTAAATTAATGGAATAACCAAAATCTATTTTCAACATTCAATGTAGCAATGCCCAATATAATATTTTTTCTTTGTAGTTTTTCCCTCCGTTTAAAGAGTATAAAGGGAATATCAAAAATGGCCTTCCAGAAGTTGAAATTTGATAAAACTTAGTATCGAAAATGGTCACTTATAACTTTGAGAGTGCTCCTTCTACTACGAAAAATGTTATCAGAAGAAATAATTTATCCTTGTAAGATCAATACTTTCATCGTTTTGCAGAAAAACTAATAAAATTAATCTAACAATTATTCAGTACAATTTTAAATGGCCAGTAGTAGTATATGTTTATGTATTATTATTAACCATTGTATATTGACAATTTTATKAACTTATATTATTATGACTTATGAGTTATGATTTAATAAGCGCCGCAAGGATGTGACCGAGACTTTCAATTACTGTAATCCCCTCAACATTTTAAAAACACCACATTAATCTAAATATAAATAAAATAGTGTGGCTTGGTGAGGCGTGGTCGTACGCTCAATCTACGGAAACGCACTGAGCGTACGTACCGGCCTCAGTTGCTAGCTCACTGATGGGTGACCAT